ATCAATAAGAGTGCATCTAAATTCCAAAATCAATCTCCATAATAGTCTATGTGTTTCCTACTGCCAAAGGGGCCCTTTAGAGTAGTGAGAGAAGATCTTTACCCTGAAACCCACAGCATCCCTTTTCAGCAGGAAGTAGCTAAGAGAATACGCCATCCCCTTTTCCTTATGACTTAGGGTGAAGTCTCCTTGCTCTGTTCTAAGAACTGCTTCCTGGTCTGAGTTTAGGCTTTGAATGAGTACAATCAAGTATGCTCATTAAATTAATAGTGTGTTCATAAAATATCTCATTTTTTGTAATATTCACCAAAGCAAATCCAATTAGTATTATTGAGAAGATAACTCCTTATATAATTTATTATAAAATGGAAGGGTTTTTTCCCTTTCCTTAAGCTAACAGGAAAAAAGCATACATGCATATTTAAACAGCCCATGGTGAGCTATCATTTTATAATATTTAATTCTCTCATTCAACTACATAATTAAATTTTTCATCACATACTTGAGTCACAAGTAGAAAAATATGCCAAGATCTCATCTTGCAAGTGAAAAATGATTTTACTTAATAATTTAAATTATTCAGTAATTTTCCCATGGTTTAGCGTAAAATAATTACAAAAACAATTAATATAATACAAAGAAAATAACTTTAATCCAACAACTGAGACCATTTAAAACCTGACTTTATTTCATTACTACATGATCTCTTCTTCCTCTCTATTTTCACATTCTTACCATTTTCAATGTCTATTTCATAGTGTTTACTAATCTCTGAATACAAATTTATTCTGTAAGATTTAGTAGAGACATTAGTTCCCCGGAGAATGCTTTTCCTACCCTACTAGGAAGAGAGCGTCCATAATACCACCTTCTGTGCCCTCCCAGGATCTGTAGACACACCTCTATTGAAGCACTTGTTTCATCTCTGTGTGCATTTATTTATAATACTATCCCTGTATCTTCTTGTAGGAGGACATGTGCCTTATATTTTTACATCCAGTTAATAATAATAATAACAACAACAACAACAACAATAACTCATGCGCACTGTCATTAAGTCCATTTAGACTCATAGCAACCATCCATCTGGTTTCTAAAATTACGTACATTAAGGGGAGGACACAGCCCATCTTTCTCTCTTGGAGCTGATCATGGATTTGAACTTAAATTTGGGGTTTTTTTTCTTTTATAGTTTATAGTTCTAAAAATATTTAATACTATAGTTTTGATTTTAAAACAATGTGTCTTCTAACATTTTATCAGTAAGTAACTAGACATAGTTGAATAAATAATGGGATATGTTTTTCATAAATAGAGTTTTTGTTCTTTCTTCACTTAAAATTTTGATATGTATGCAACCACTTTTTTAATCTTTAAAAAATCTGCTTTAGTGATTAAATTTCATAATAAGCCTGCTATGATTCAGTTATGATTCAAAGGATCTTCCATTGTGTTTCTGAGGCTATAAATCTTAAAAGGAGGAGATGGCCCATCTCTTTCCTATAGAACTGCTTTGATTAGAACTTCTACTTTCAGTTAGCAGTCATACATTATGCACGTTGCTTCTTGCATTTTATAATCAACAGGAACTCAGGTCATTGCTATTAAGTTGTAGCCAAGGCATAACTGATCTTCCAGTATCTTGTCATAGACTGTAAATCACACAGGTAGAGATTGCCTATCTTTATATTGTGGAATTGGCAGATTCAAAACACCAGAGAGGTACCACCTTTTTTGTATTGACAGTGTGACTCCCCACCCACTAGATTACCAGAGCTCCCTGCATTTTACGATAGACAAGTATAAAAAAGAGCAAGGCCCACATGGGGATGTCCACATCTGAACTTTATTAGTTTCACAAAGTAGAACTGTCCCTGTTCACAGCATCAATAGCATAAAACCAATTCCCATGAGGTCAGACATAACCCATCCCTCTTGCTACTCATCTCAACACCAATCTTATTGCATTGGTGGGTCCATAATCTGATGTGATAGCTCACAGACCGCACAGAACCATATTGGATTATAAAGGTTATATAATTCAGATTAAAAACAGAATGCAGTCAAGACAGCTCCTAAAGTGTGCACACAGGCACCTCAGCCTCAAGCCTCAAGGCAGTCAAGACAGCTCCTAAAGTGTGCACACAGGCACCTCAGCCTCAAGCCTCAAGGCTGTAAGTGTTCCTAAGTTCTCAGACCTGTCAATATTGGATCTCCCTGATTGTCCAACGGAATTCTCAGTCCTGTCAATATTCATTTTGTCCCCCCTCCCTAAAGTCCCATCTCATGTCACTTCTCCAGTTCAGCCATGGCTGCTGCTGCCTGAAGCATGTCCTACATTTCACCAGGTTTGTGGAGTTCTCTCTTCTCTGGCTGAGCAAAGAATTATATCTTTTCTAGCAAGAGAAGATTCCTATCTCTGCAGCAAAAGCTATTCAGTTTATTGGTGTGACTAGCCAGTCCTCTTGTAGGTTGTTGAGACTTGCCAGTCCCCTCATGGAATGGTGAATACCCAGTCCCTTTGTGGGTAAGCAAACATGCCCATCCATATAGTCCCACCCATGTGTATAGTTAATCATCCACACTTGAAA